AAGACTGAAACTCAAAGGGAACACATGAGCAGTCTAGTATACTCACTGGTGACTACCTTGTGTGTGGAAGTGAGAGAAATACAGCAATGAAGACATGGACTGAGCTTGGCCATGTTCCATTAACATCCATTGACCTTGAGATGAGAGAGAGAAGGGGAAGGACTGGTTTAAGTTTAAGGAGCCCATGGGCACTGACCTAGCCACTGGGGGCTAGAGCTGAGAATGAAGCACCCAGCTGGTCTTAAGTGCGGGGAGGCCTGTGTGCGAGAACTCCCAAACTCCCTAAGATTTCTATAGCTATAGTACCAAGCCCATTATACTTTAATATCTTAAATGTGGCCTAAGGACTAGCAGAATCAGCATCACCTGGGAGCTTATTTAAAATGCAGAATCTCATGTCCCACCCAAGACCTACTGAATCTGAATCTGCATTTTAACAAGATCTCACAAGGGAATTAACAAGCTCATTAAGGCTTAAGAAACATTGCTTTAAGCCTTGTGTAGCTGTTTCTCTTCTTATTTGCTGCTGAACACAGTCTAACTGATAGAGAGGATGTAGAGACACATTTGATGCTACTCATCACATCTCCTGGCCCACCTTGATTTCAGAAACACCTACTTGGGTAGGCGGAATTCTAAAAACGCCTCCCCAACCCTGCTGCCAAGATTCCCATCCTTTGGCTATTCAATCAAGTATGGATCTAGGTGCTACTATGAAGGGATTTGACAGGGTCAAATTAAAGAAACCCTATACAGGGTCGCTATGAGTCGGAACCGACTCGACTGCACTTAACACGAACAAATTAAGGTTACCAATCAGCTGACCTTAAAATAGGGAGATCATCCAGGTCTATCCATGTGGGTCCAATGTATTACATGATCTTTTAAAAGCAGAAAAAGAAGACAGAAGAGTCTGAGAAACGCGATAGAAGAGAAAGGCAGGAGAGATGAGGCAGTAGGTGACCAGAGGAATTCAGAGTGTGAGAAGGTCTGCGCCTGCTGCTGCTGGCTGATGATGGAAGAAGAAAGCCACAAGCCAGGGAATCCAGGGGGCCTCTAAAAGCTGGGGACAACCCCTGACTGACAGTCAGCAAGGAAACTGGGACCTCTCTTCTACAGTTGTTAAGAACTGAATTCTGCAAATGAATTTGCAAGTAGACTCAGCCTAGAACCTTCCAGAAAAACATACAGCTCTGCTAACACCTAAATTTTGGCCTTGTGAGACTGTAAGCAAAGAACTAGCAGACTCATCTGTGCTCAGACTTCTGAATTACAGAAACTGAAATAATAAATTGATGTTGTTTCAAGATGCTCAATTTGTGACCATTTGTCACAATAGCAATAGAAAAAGGACACAGCTTCGGTGAACAATTGTATGCAAGCTTAGACTTATCCCCCCCTCCCCCACCCCCAGCATCCCACTTCTAATGTACAAGGTGTCTTTCTGTCTTGATGCCTCCCTCAGGGCCTTCTCTGATGTGGTGGAAGCCTGCTGGGCAAAACACAGACCAGAAGTACAAAGAAGTTAACACCCCTAGGGACAGTACTCAAGCAAAGAGGAAAGGAAGTCAACAGTTCCGTGTTCCAGTTGCCCACCTTTTGGAGAGGAGGGCAATTGGACGGCTACCGTACACTTCACAGAAGTCTTGGTGGAGGCCCCGTTATCTATAGTAGCAACCTCCATAATACTCCATTAGTTAGACTTTTCTTTCTTCTTTGCCTCACTCCCCTGCATTTCTCACTCTTGCTTCCTAGGATTACCTCCCTAATAACTTCCCTGCACCCAAATCTCATTCTCCATTTCTGCTTGAGATTGATAGGCCAATAATAAAGTCCACTCCACCAGCTCATCTTGATTAGGATAAAAGGATATATTGGCAGGATATTTCAATGTCTCACACTGAAACCAGGCCTCTAGAAAAACTGAAATTGAGGAGTACAGTCCATCGAAGTGTCTCTCTGTCCTTTGTCCCTTCTCCTCTATTGGCTTTACCTTTAGAGAGAAGAAACAAATCTGTCCCCAGTAGGAGAGAAAAATCCCAAGGAAGGGTTGTATTTAACCACTCTTGAGTCAATGTCCATGATTGGTACAATGGGAGACAGGCACTATGATTGATTGGTCCATGTAAGGTCAGAAGTCTAGTCCCGGGTCAAACCATGGCTAGGTGGTGGAAGTCCAGTAATTCAGACATGGTCAGTGGAGACCATCATTGTGTTTCAGGGCATTTCCAGAAATAATGAAATTATTGAGAGTTGAAACAGTCTTCCCATTAGTTATCCCAAACCATCACCATCAAGTTCTCTTATTAAATGCTGTGGAGTTGGTTTCGACCCATGGCGACCTTGTTTAGTGTTTCTGATATCCTCTTTGTCAGTTCATTTCCAGTTTTTCCTTCATAGGCTCACCTGCCTCTGCCCAACCCATAAATGCTGGTGCTCCTGAGGATTCTATCTTTACTCTTCTTACTCTCACTCATTCCTAAAGCTATCTTACTCCATGGCAGAAGTTATGGCATTTTCCTTAAGATTTAACCTAATTTAGTCTAATGCAGTCATGGTAATTCCACTTCCCTTGGCAACAACTGATTTGAGATGAATGGGTCTAAACCAAATTAGATCAAAGAGATTCCGGGAGACACTTGTTTAAGACTTCTGGGAAAGAAAAATCAGTGTTGCTGTTGTCTGTTGGATGGAAAAGGAAGCATGCAACCCTGATTGCTGCTGCCAACGAACCATCTAGTGATGGGAGGGGAGCCATCCCCATCCATAGGACCCTACCATAGGATGGTAGGGTCAGCAGAACAGTGAGATGGAAATAGCTCAGAATCTTGATATTATTGTTGAACTAGGAAATCTACCTACTCTGCCCTGCCACTGGACTTCTTGCTTTGTGAGATAATACATTTTCATGCAGTGTAAGTCAGTCTGAATCTTCAGGTGTGTGCTACTTAGAGTTGAATGCATCCTTCTTAATGCACGTTTATTCCCGTAAAGTCTCTCAAACTCACTTTCCTGGACTCTAGACCTACTTATATTTTCCAGCCTTGCTCCTCCTCCTCCTGGGTTCCTTGTTGTAAGGTGCTGTTGTGTCGGTTCCGACTCATAGTTACCCTATGCACAACAGAACCAAACAATGCCCAGTTCTGCACTGTCTTCACAATTGTTACACGTGAGCCCATTGTTGCTGCCACAGTGCCAATCCATCTCATTGAGGGTCTTCCTCTTTTTCTCCGACCCTCCACTTTACCTAGCACTGTGTCCTTTTCCAGGCACTTGTCCCTCCTGATAACGTGTTAGAAGTATGAGAGACGAAGTCTCACTATCTGGCTTCTAAGAAGCATTCTGGCTGCTTACAATTCATTTATTAAAATAATAATAATTGGGTGTATACTAATGTATGTAAAGTTGTGTTTTCAATACAGTAGATAGAGTAGTTGATGATTCAAAGTTGCTGTCATCATGGACCAGTGAAGGAGACACAATAATACAAAATGATTTAATGAATGAAACAATGAATAATGCGGAGTTGGAACTCAGTAGTAATTGTTTGAGGGAAGAATTTAAGTGTCTATAGAATAACACACTATGTATGCCCTGTTCTCAGAACTCTTGGAGTAGAAAAAAGGAAATAAGACCCTAGACTCAGAGTCCAGAAATAATGGCAAACAGGTCTGGGTGCTCCTTTTGGCACGCTCTGTGCAAAGTGCTTTAGGGAACTATCCCACTGAATCCAGGCCTGAGACCAGGCAGCATGGGGAGCAAAAGGAGCCCTGGCGAGAGGTCCCCAGAGCCCTGGATTTTGATCTGGTCAGTGTGACCTTGTGCAAGACACCGTCTTATCAAGGGTTTGGCCAGTTACCCGAGGGTCTCACCCTTTTCTACAGACTGCTCAGGATTTATGAGAGGGGTCTGAGGGGTGGGAGGCCTGGGCAAGTAATGGTGATCACCGAGAGCAAGAGCGAGGTTAGTAAAGTCTGTAAAGGGGGATCAATAGAAGGAGATCATTGGAGAGAGGAAAATCATAAGACACTCCTTTTCTTCTCCTGCCGGCTCTCTGGTCCCATCCCTTCCAGCGCCACCGCTCGGACGGACCTTCTCAAGTTCTCTAAAAGGACATTCTCTTTGCTCCCCCTGCCCTCCATCCCGCTGTCCCAGCATGAACGGTGAGAATCCCCAGGCTGGTGATACGTTTTGACTTAGGGACGCGCTCTTTGGCCCTGAAACGCGCAGTCCAAGTGGGCATAGTCTCTATTCCACCTCCACTCCCCCTTCAGCTCGCGACCACTTGGTCTGCGCCGCCTGCATTCTCCGTGTGCCGAGCCCGCCCGCACTGCGGGGGAGAGCCCGGGAGCCGCCCACGCCGCGCTCCGTGCGGGGCGACGCCGTCTCCCTGGGACACGCGCTGGCTTCGCCGCAAGCAACAGCCGGGCGGGCGACCATGGCACAGCGCGGCGTGAGGTAGCCCCGCCGCCCTAGGAGACCGCAAGGGTCGCCATGGCCCGGCGGAGGCGCCGCGCTTGCATCGCGCTTTTTCTGGTGCTGCTTTTCGCCTTCGGCACCCTCATGGGCTTGCGCACGCTCAAGGCTCCAGACGGGCTCCCAGCTCTGGGCCCCGGCCAGGAGCTGGCTCCCTTTGAGCGAC